CTTAGAAGGGAATGATAATTGGCCACCTCGCCCGCAATGCCCTCATAGCGCACATTTGCTGCAGCATCACCGACCCAGCTGAGCACTTGTAATACTATCACATCAAGTGAACCGGACATGTACAGAATGAGTTCATCCAATAGCGGATCCGAACTGCTGAAACTTTGATCGATAACTGGTTTTCTGCACCCGACAGCGAGTGTGGCGTGGGTGGATGGGGGAGGATAGGAGGGCGGGGGGGGGGGNAAATGGAACTGCATGTTTAAACAATTATTTAATCACATCTAGTGTATAAACGCACGTAAATAGCCTATACTGGTGTCAGACGTCTGGCATGTTGACCGATAATACAAACACTCCGCTGTTTGGAAAAAATGCGTCAGAAATAGAGATTCTTGTGCATAAAGTACGTTTTGAACAGTGAATCAACATAAAACAGTTTCTCGACCGAGTGTGGAAATGCACAATGCTGTACACATACTGCCTTAACCAATAAGATGTACATATACTATCTAAAGTATAACAAACCAGTTATATACTGCGGGTTATATCCAATACTGTATAAGAGGTCGGAACGTACAGTTCCTATGCCTGTGAATATTATCAATTCTGCATCAATCAATGTATTTTTGGACATTCTATAGATCTACTCTGAACAGTATCTGTTCACTTCGACGCCCGCAACTCGGTTAGTAACAAAACTAACTGCCTCTCATGGTTTCTGACGCATTTCAAATTGGCTATATATCTAACGTCCTCAGTGAGGTTTTCTATACAATGCTGGCTGCTTTAATTGATACCTCACACTTGAACTATTCATCTATGCGTGCGTTATTTTTCCAGACAAACCAGTCTTCTATTTCTGGGACGAGTGAACACGTTTGGTTGTTTTCTGACTCATTTCCTGGAGATAAGCATCACACAGTCTTGTTAGTTGAGTTGATCGAGTTCGGTGGAACCGTTACATGCCCTGACAAAATGACATCATCTGAAATTGGTCAAAGAGCATTTCAAAAACAACGCAATGTTTGTTTGGGGATAAAATCAAAGGTGATACTTATTTTGGCTGAATAAACATGTAAAACGATGCGCTTTTTCTAAAATGCGGTATGCACAGTCCAACGAAACTGATTCAGGCGATACTTTGCGATAAGTGTATAATGCAATGATTGCAATGCGTGATACCACTGTATGAATGAAACCACTGGCATCAAACATTCACACTCTTTCTCTGGTAATTATAAATGGAATAAGTCGATTGATTCATATTTATCGGTGTGCGTGTGAGTCTATGTGGTGATTCCAGCCTACGGGATAACGCCTGCCCCAGAGCGACGCTTTACAGTGGCAAGACAACTAGGATGAGTCAACCTTCCCAGATGATGCCACTCAAGCGTCCAAGCGTTTCAGTTGCTGGACCACGAATCACTGGCTGATAGTGCAGACCGATCAAGGGTTTTGTGTTCCAGACAGAAGCTGTATGACATCAAGAATACAAGTACGTGATTGGTGGATACCTGGATAACCAATAAACTTTGTTCGTACATGTTATTTAGTCCTCTTGATTTCTTCCAGTAAACGAACTGCTAAGTCTGTGGCCTCTTCCTTGCATCTCGGTTACGTGAGATACCAGTGTGCAAGTGCTAGTGCGATTCAATATTTTCGTGGCGTCCATGAATCTTGATTATTGGTTCGTGATTCATGATCTGTGCCGAAAAGCGATTCCATCTCTCAGGGCTAAATCACGTGGTTACTGTGCACTACAATCTCTGAGGCAGTTGTTTGTTTTGTCCAACTGAAATGGGACGCATACTAGGGAATAGCATTCCAGCGTGGTTATTTTTCAAGTTGCACGAGGTCATCACTCGAAGGTGACATTGGTATTGTGATCACCCAAATCCGAACTGAGTGGACATTGTAACCGGCAAAATGCAACTGAAAAATGCTTACAGCTTTCATATCGCGCACCCCGAATGCCATTTAATGTATTACACAGAAAAGTACATGAACGACATACGGTTTCAACTTAAAGTTGAATCAAGAGCACTAAACTGGGAATAATCCATTCGATTGTTCACAGACACACATGGCGCTATTGATTTTCTCGGGTGTGAATTTCATTCCTGGGGTGACCGTTGGTTACCCACTAGTCGGATGCGTTTTTCTAAGCGACGGAAAGATTTGGGATGACGGATCAAGAGCACTGGACAGCTGTTTCCTGTCCTGTTTGGGACTCATCAGCGGTGCATACGTTTCAAAACCATTTTAAACCACCGTCAACCATATAGCTCAGAGGTAAGAGTTTCAATTCCTGACCCGAATGTTTGTGATTCGATCGGGACAGGGACACAAAAACGCTTGTACTACTGGCGAGTCCGAGACAAACTTTAGCATCGTTTAAACCAAATCGTGGTAATTTCAAATGAATCAAACTGGTCGCATTCGGCTAGGCACCCCACGAAGTGATTGGTCCCATCAGCGACATGTGACGACCATTGAATGAATGCTACTGGTGCTTCAGCCAGCACTTGTCTCCGATTGGACCGGGTCTATCGAAATCCCGTCCGGTCAGAATAAACTGACTTATCCAATAGGCAAACAAAAGTACTTTTTGAATGGGTTGGCTGGGGGCTTGGATATGGCCCCACCGAGAACGTTATGTCCTTGACCGTTAATCGAGTGCGCCTCGGAGGAAGGTGAACAAACCCGGCCAGATGTGAGTTATTCTTCTGACCACATGTCTCACTCGCCAAATCAAAAGGATCGCACACGAGTAATCAGGCTGTAAAAATGATACTACGAGGATCACAAATTATGTAACAAGGAGAGCAACATATGCGACAAGCATGATTGACCAAGGCATCAAATACAGATGACAGGTTGTTGTCATTGGCATTGTGCCTAGAATGCATTTGTACATCCTGTGAATACGGAGAGAATTGCGATTTCTGTTGGCCAAGGAATAAGTTGAAATTTAATCTTGCCATTCATGTGAAATACCGTTGTTACTTCTTTCGTTCTATCCTTGTACCATTGTTAAGTATCGTGTTAAGTGCACCTCTCAGTACCAGAAATATTTAGGCAATCGAATTTGGTCAAAAGGAATCGATGTTATTCATGGTCACGTTTGCCTCAGTGAAATTTACTTACTATTGAGGGCTATTGAGGGCCTGGACTGAACCCCGTCATTCTAGAATGCACGCCTGAGCCAGGTGATCGATCTATCGATCCGTCTCAACATGATTCACTCGACCGTGCTCAATTGGGCTTGTATTCGATCGACAGCAAGGAATATAACATCTTCCAGCAGAATGTGATTGATTTGATTCACTTGGATTTAAAACGGATACACTTGACATTACAAGAGTTTCACCTGAATTTTCAAAATAATATTTTTCAATGTCTACTCTAAGCCAACTTGGAACAGAGACCGAGGGGGGGGGGGGGGGGGGGGGGGGAGGAGGAGGGTGTGTAAAACAATGTCACTATCAACAACTTAATGTTCCACAGGACAAGTGTTCAAAAATCTGATTGAGTGCTAAGCACACCAAAGCGATCTAGCATTGTTACGACGTGCTTTTGTTCAGTGAACTTGTAAACAGCTATTAAACGTCTATTCTGAAATGCGATACCCGACAAAGAAGGGGATTAGGTAATCGATCGATAGACCAATCTGATCAAAACCGCGCTGTTTGTTGCAACTAAGTATAATTGTTCTCCGGATTTATCGTTACTAGTTTCAGGGACGGATAGTTAAGGAATTCATTGATAACGCTTAGGTTTACAGCTGCTCCAGTGTGTACCGATTTCACGAGAGAACGTTTGGATTAAGTCCAAACAGGTGCATTCTTGTGGTATGACAAGTTATGTGGAAACGAAACACACGGCGACTTCTTAACTTCTCCTCCTAATCGATAACTTATTGATTTTCCTTGCTTGTGTAAACACATTGTGCTACATCCAATGGAATAAAGTAAATTCGGAGTAGCAATTTTGGTATAATCCATTCGATTTTCACAGGACCCAGACACTAGTAATTCTTTTGGATGAGGGTCTTATTTCTTAGGGGAGATCGTTGATTCCTCAGTGGTTGAATGCGTTCATGAGTGATGGAGAGATTTAGGATACCCCGATAGAGAACAGTGAACAGCTCAGGGATAAGGGTTTAAAGTCCCAACCCCAATGTTCGTTATTCGAGTCCTGACAGGGACACAACAAAGATGTTCTGTTGACGGGTCTCAAACAGGAAGGAACAGCTGTCGGTCATCACAAATCTTTTCATCAAATTTGAAGCATTACTCTAGGATGATTGTGGTACGAGAATCAGAATGAGCAGTGGTTAACAAAAAACGACAAATTGCCACCCATTTTAAATATTATGCGTTCAACGCTTGAAGGACTGGCTTTATGGATATGACGGCCCATTCAAAACATTTGATCCATTGATTTGGTCCGTCATTCAATAAAGAGTCCTGGATTTGCGAAGTGTCCAGGACAAACTGATCAATTCCACATTCACCTTTTACTCTCTCATGGACACCCTTTTCCCATAGATTATTTCCGGTCGTTAGGATTAAGCAAATGTAAAAACCTGAGATAGAAATGAACATGGGGAATAACGATTTTGAAAAACTGTTGAAATTATCCAGTTCATACACTGGCGAAACTAAAGCAAGTTTAGTCAACATAGCTGAGGATAAGTATGTAGAAAATAATGACAGTACAAACAGTGTATGCAGTCGAGAAACAAATAACTTGTGAGTTGTATGACGTAGAATTGGATTAGAATCACCCTGGCATCAAACAGTAATTTTGACACAAGCAGTTTCTACTTTCCAGGTTCCAATTTATAAACTTACACATTGATCATTAGTGAATAGGATTTCAAATGTCGTTCGTTTAGATAGGGGGGAAACCAGAGTCGAACAAGCGCCCCACTGGCTACCGAATCCCAGTCAACATGAGTGTTTGACGCGGGGGATGGGGCCGCACTCGGACCGGGTTTGGTCGGACCAGGTGAATCGCGTTTCTTGGTCGGACTGAAGCTTATCAACCGTAGAACGACATTCGAGACCGGACGATCTCCGAAAGGTGGACTGGGGTGAAGCAAATACAGCGGAGACTGGGTGGCATTCAGAAATCTCTCTTTCACTTTCATCCGATAAGTGCTTGTTGGGGCCTGATGCTGTTTGGCCGATTTGGCTGTCTGCGTGTCCGGGGCCCGGGGAACTCGGACCAGATGGTCGACTTCCGATCCGGCGGCCATCGGGGAATGATGATGCGAGTCCCAGCTATGCACCATGAGCAAATGGCTGTGCCAGATGAGATACACTGAGGGTGGATGGAAGATAGAGAGGTGATAAACAGGTAAACAGTCGGACACATTACGAATAGCAATATCACACCAAGTTGTGTTACATCGATGGAAAAGCATTCTTGGAACTCGCGGTCGATGTTATTGGTGTCTTTGAAGCCTTTACAGGTCCAGCGGTTATGATGCCATTAGAGATTTCAGCACTCTGTTCCAATAAATTAGCTCAATTTTCAGGTTAAATTGTATAACTCTAACAGTATATCCTATAGCAGTTATTCAATAAGTGACTTATTTACTGGAACTCGAAATCAGTGAGAAAGGCAGTTCATGTAGAGTTTGTATTCGTTACCACCAAGACATTGTCAATGCTGAAAAGACACTCGAACAGGAGTGGAATTTCTGTGGTGGGGGTAGAAAATGGAATTTTCAATTCATAGGAAAGCGGCGCTCAGCTGGTTGATTCACACAGAGCTTTTCGCCGGGTATTCAAAACGTCTCATCTACCTTGCCGAATCGGTGTCCGTGTATCCAGGATTCCAGGAATCGAGGAACATACGTCATACGAATTGTTTGGCTGTCAGATACTGAACTGTTCGGTAAAGATATTCTAAATCACAATTATTTTTTAAAGAACCAGTCATTATGGTGCATGATTTTGACGTATTCTATAATGCTGGCTCGGTATTTTTACAGAGGTTTTATAATGGACGACAACCATGTATCTATCTGTCTGGCTGTGCAGTAGTTTATCTCACTGACTATCCTGTGCTTTTGCAGTAGTTTAATCGTAGCCGTTCTTCAGTAACTCTGAGTACCTTGGGGAACGTCCAATACAAAAGTCAGCAACGATTAGCTCAGCCGAACATAACTGTCAAATAATCGAAGGTTTAATTAACGCAATAACTGCGCAAAACTAGCAAAAAAGGGTGAAACACTCTCTTTGTAATCAGAAAGCGTATGGTGCTGATTCCTGGGTTAGTCTCGTCTAGGGGGTTCAACTAAGAATACGGGTAAACCAACCAGGTGCCGAAAATGAATCTTTCACGTGATGATATATTCAGTATTTTGTAAGTCGTACACGATGCGATCCCAACGTGAATTTAAAGTCACTTCTTTTCATAATTTGTTTGAAAAAATACTCGATTTGGTCGTGAAAAATATTAGGTTTCATTGGCAGTAATGAGTTTGATGCAAGTTCAGTCAATTTACTCTGTTTTTCTTGGAGTCTAATATCCTGAAACACAAAGAGCAATTTTCAAAATGAAACAAAAAGAACTGGGCTTTCAAATGGAATATTCCAGGAAAGAAGAAATCTGATCAAAAATATATTAAGGCGGAAGTTTCAGTGTGTAGTGTGTCTCATTATCTATCTACCTTGTGCAGTGGACGCGTTTCCGGTCTCCGTTCCTCCTGGCTCAATGTACCACAAGGCCAGACCAGCATCCGGGTCCATACGAAATGCCTGGACAAATTCTGTGGTCTCGTACTCAGACACATTGGTCACAGTGCCGGTTAAATGATTGATTAATTGTCTGGTCGGAGCCTCTTTGATCGCCGAGGCACCGAACGCCTCATAACCGGTGTACCATTGGGTAGTGAAGTACAAACCGTTTGCCGAGACGCGCACCTGGGACAAGGTTCGTGCGGAATCGTTTGCCAACAGTCGCCGCATCGTGTTCCGATTCATCTCGACCGGGGCAATGCTGTAGACCTGCGCGTACAAATGCGACAAACTGCCCTCGAATAGCGAGTCGTTCATTTCGTTACAGGTCAAGCAGAACATTGCGTTTCGAGCTCGATCGTATCTGCCGGTGCAAGTGGTGTGTGAATCCCGACCGGAATGGGACAGAAGATGGGATGCGCAGAAAGGGGGGGGGGATTGGATCGCGGGATAGCAGATAAACGGGTACGATTATAAGGTGGTACGTAAAAAAACCCTCATCCGGTTATCAATTCAGAGACGCATCACTAATCAGCATAGAAGTAGAAAGTACATTACCGAACGATTCAGGAGATTTCATTATATGGCACAAGAAAAAGATTCCTTTTACTCATCTCTTTTGAATGAGTATAGTATCAATATGTGTTCTGTTTCATCAACCTTGCTCATTCTTTGGTTGATACCGTTTTAGCCAGCTAAAGTAGATGATGTTTTATTACACAAATCGATGATAACGATGGTGGAAAGTAGAAAAACTGAATCTATCGGTCGGTTACAGTATCGACTAATAAACATTACCTTTCAATCGTTGCCATCAGAAAACTTTGATCTCCAATGGCTTGGTAGTAGTATATTACATCGGGCGACTGGTGCTAGAGTCCGAAAACTCTGACCTCGGATCTATCCCATTGAGTTCCATTGGTAGCGAATTTAATAGCTCGACCAAAATGTGGTAAATGTACCAATAGTAGTAGTGCACACTGAATTCCGATTACTAATCACGGAATGCGACTCACTGATTATCAGTCATGGACTGAATCACATAAGCACTGGATTGCATTGACAGTTACAAGCACTATCATACGCCAGGAAAAGGCCACAGGAGTAGTAGTTCGTTTATTGAAAGAAGTGAGGGGGATTATATGCTATGTATAAAGCAAACTCATTGGTCATCCGGGCTTCTGCCAATCGCGTTCCAGTATTTCTTGCATCGTTCTGCTTCTGTCGCGGCCACACGGTCTCTGATTGGCTGGTACAATCCACCTATGGTATGTAGTCCTGAAGCAGTGACGCGTACGCGTACGCGCTTTGCTAATGTCACCCGTGATTGATCACAGTTGTCCGGAAACTGCAACGCTTTGCTCCATGGTATGCGTCATCTCGTAGGCTGAGATCACAACACAAAGTCACACTTGAAAGCGCCTCTGGGGAAATCGACTGTTAATCGCTTGTCGTTGAATTTCACACCAGTAATAAATAAATCCTTTGAGCTAAATGGAGGATTTTATGTGTTTCTATAATGAATTCATCCTGTACATAAGACGTGAGCTGAAAAGCTAGGAGGGACAGGACACTTATTTCGACTTGACAATTCATCAACCCAACTAGNGTCGAATCCTCCATTGCTCTGGTCTAACATCCATTCCAGTTGAAATGTTTCCGAGCGAATCATAATCCACGGGGCTAGTGCTGAAACGTGCAAGGAGCGACTCCTGCAATGAGGTCGTGAAGATGAGTTATGCTTTATCGTGTATGTTTAAAAATGAGAAACGTTCTGATCAGCTGCCCCGGGGTGATCGATTGGGTAGTATGCTTGTGTTCCACCGGTGACGTCCTGGGTTCAATCCCCAGTTAGGAGTCGATGGATTCGCACCGCACTGCTGATGAAAACCAGCCAGGTCGACACAGTTGTTCAGTAATGCTTCCCAGCTCTTCAGCTCACGCCTCATTTACACGACAAATTCATTGTACAAGTATATCCTTTGTTATTCACTGGTCACATCACATTTAATCAAATTCAAATAGAGGCTCTGGTTTACATTGTGCAGGGTCTGATAACGAACACGTGATTTTCAACTTTCAACGGGAATGCGACATCATTAAGAAAAAGCCGGGGGCAGTAATCATATTATTCACGTTCCATTGTTTCGTAATTTTGGAAATTGTTTTATTTTTTTTTCCAACTGGTTAAAAGATCAATTATCTTGGTGATTCTAAAACCAAACTGTGGTGATCCAGGCCTACACGATGGCGCCTACCCTGAAGCGGCGCTTTACAGTTTCTGGACATTTGCGATCAATCAAGTTTGAATGCTGACGTCAATGGCACGTGCATGGCTTCTGAATACACGTCATTGGTGGATGATGCCAGCCAATCCAAGACAGTGCAGATAGAAGCAAGATTTTGCAAGCAGTACTGCAATCCCATTGGTGGAAGCCCAGATAGTCAATAATCTCCCTTTGTACATATTATTTAATCACCTTCATTTCTTCAATAAACGAACTACTGTTTACTACCATTCCTGTGACCTTTTCCTCGCGTCTCGTTCTCGTGGGATATTGCGAATCCGTGCCATTGTGGTCCAATGCTTCTGAGATCCAGTCCGTGATAGCTGATTATTGATTCAGGTCCTGTGGTTCATATTGCGTGGTTTACATTCCGAATTCCGTGCGTATTACTACTACTACTACAATCATTACACAAACCCCAATGGATGTAAAGAGATTTTTAAGCAACTGTCCAACTTACGGTTGAATCTCATCGAGACTTAGAATATTTCCATGGGAATGATGCACATGTTTTATTCTTAGTTATTCTTTGAAAATCCGCTGAAGAAAAATAAAATCTAGTGGTGCCTATATTTCTCTTAAGCCTATGATGTTCCATCCAAACCCGAGAGATTCATGCAGACACATTAGTTTGTATGCAAAAAAACGTGGATCAATGGCGTGCTTTGGGGCAAAATC